TAATTTTTATTTAACAGAATATTTTGATTGACATAACATTGTTACTCCAGTTCCAAATCAGAACAATCAGAACCAAATCAGAAGAGATACAGTATATATTACTTATTTTTTAATTATATAGATGTATTTACATATTTATATTAAGATTTATTTTAAATTTTAATAATTGAAATATATTGGTTTTTTTTTTTTCTTTTCTTTCAATTAGATTGTCGTTGGGCATAACTCTGATGGGCTATTGAATCGCTTTATAACACCCGTTTCCAAGAGTCAATACAAAAATATACTTTAAGATGCAGCTTAACATTTTATAGATGGCAAGAGTCAATACAAAAATATACTTCAATTCAAGCTGCAGCTTACCATCTTATAGATTACAAGAGTCAATACAAAAATATATTTCAAGCTGCAGCTCAACATCTTATAGATTGAGTAATCCCAAATCCAAAAAATATAGTTTAAAAGTATGAAAGAATGTTATACAATTATCTCAAATCCTAAAAATATAATTTAGAACAATGTTATTCTCATGTGTTAGGAAAGCTTTTGAGTGGATTTTATTTAAGAAGGAATTGCTAAGCAGAAATTACAAGTTTAACGACAAATATGAAAATGCAAAGAAATTAAAGAAGTAAGATTTATTTTTAGAACTCAATAATTTAATAATCTTTCATTTAATATATACATAATATAACTTACTTATTTTCTTAACGTAGATTTCAATTTAGATTAAAACGTACCAATGAATAGTTATTGAAAACCTAAACTCAATATGAAGAAACAAGGAATATAAGAATTATTGATAATTTTATTGATTTAAGAAGTAACATATTTTTCTCTTTTTTTTAGTGTAGAATTAGCAAAAGGATGACATAAGACTTTTTCATTAGCATTGTTTTGGTCGTGGGTTATGAAAAAATGATAATGGTAAAAAATATTATATGATCAAGAATTTGTGGGAAAGAACAGACAGAAGGAGGTTATAGGAAAGTAAGTAGGACTTTGTTAATAGTAATGTAAGTCCTATGTATTTGTTAGATAGATTATGTTATCTGATAATAAATAAAAGAAAGAGAGAAAAAAAAAACGTTGTCGTCCAACTAATAAAAGGAAGAAAGATGAAGATGGTAGAAGAGTGAATAAGTTAGTATCAAATAATAATATTAATGAGTTTCTATAATTATTTTGCAATTATTAAGTAATAATATTTTAGATATAGATTAATTTTAAAATTTAAACATAAAATCAATACATTTAATTCTGAAATGAAAATTATATAACATTAATATCAGGTAGAAATTTAGAGATTGAGTTTATTGATATGGTTAGCTACCGAATATGTAATTATTAATATAAATTAATTATATAATTTTATTAATAATTGCATACTTTTGTTTTTGCAAGGTTTATCCACTCAATTTTAAAAGGGAGTTATAATATCAGAATGGTACAAATAATTCATTTATACTAAAAAATGTAATTATTAATATAAATTAATTATATAGTATTATTAATCAATACTGAATCATGCCCCACCTCGAGTCTCACTCAAGTCTCTATTGATGGCTTTATTGTTGCTCAATTGATGGCCGATCGGTCTCATCGGCCAACCTCTTGAGGTTACCAAATCTATAAAGGAGCAAAGGCAGACGAGAGAGATACCGAAAATTCTGAGAGAATGAGAGAAGCAAAACATCTAGAGAGAAGAGAGAAGATGGTGTTAGTTCTATTGAGACAATTCTGGATCTTGTTTGCCCCATTAGTTCTACCTTTTTTTGTTAGCATAGTGTAAATCAATGTTCATTGTTCTGCATATCAACCCGTGTTCATCATTCTGGATATATATCTTGTAAAATGATCTAAAGGATCATTTACATGTTTCGGTACATTGGTGACATGTAATTAAACATTGCCGAGACTTATAATACTACTTGTTTTCATGGACTTAGGTATGGTGTCCATCGAAATGGTCGACATTTTTTCTTTCAAAAAGATACATTCAAGATTAATGATCTCATCAAACCGGCTACTATTTCAATCTATTCCAATGAATTCCAAAATCTATTTCGCTGACTTTTTATTCGTTTACTTCATATAGCTTTTCATCATCTTGGAGTTTAAACGAGCATGTACATTGAGTGCCCGATCCCGCTAGTTCATGCTTATAATCCACTAATTCTCGCCTATAATAAGGAAACATGAAACATGTAAAAGTTAGGTACTTCATGAAATTTGTAAATCCTAATTTGAAAATAAGGAAACTAGAAACTTGTAAATCCTAATATAATAAGGAAACTGTAAATTAGATACTTAGAAAATCAAACTAATCACCACCCGTCCTTCTTTTCCAACCAATCACACCTGTACTGAGTTGGAAAATCAAACTAATCACACTTGTCCTTCTTCTCCAACCAATCACCACCAGTACTGAGTTGGATCATGCAACCATCTTTTTTTAAAATTTATTTAAAAGAAATAGAACAAAATTCATCTATAATCTTTTTAGATTTTTACCAACCAATCACCTAGTATTGAGTTTGATCATACAACCATATTTTCTTAAAATTCAACTATAATCTTTATTTGTTAAATTTATTCTATAAAAATATTTTTCTATATTAATTCTTTGTTCGATGCTTTAGGCTTCCTAAAAGAGCTCGAACCAATGGAGATAGTATTCCTCACTTATAAACTCTATGCTCTTCCACTAAATTAACCAATGTGGAACTCCACTGCAAGATATATATCATATAATAGCTTTTCTTTATAACATTTTAAAGAATACGCTATAAGAAAAGAAGAAAAAAAAAAAAAGAAAAAAAAAATACACACTCAATCTGCCAATTTCTCTCTCTATGTGGCCCATTTCTCTTTCTCTGCACTCAAACAAAAAGCGCTAAAGTTGGGTTTAAAAAAAAAATCTTATAGCTTTGCCCATTTTTCTCTCTCTACACTCACCCATTTTCTTTTTCTGTCTGTGCATTTACGGGTTTTCCTTTCTCCATTTCTCTCTCAACTCCCTCTACATTTTTCAGTTCTCCCCTTCTCCCATTTCACTGTTCACTCAGGTCTTTTTCTATTTCTTCTCTATTCGATTTTATCTCATCACTTTTTTTATTGTTACTTAAAACTCTGTTCATTCACAATATTGATTCTAGAGTTTCCTTTCAAGTTCTAAGAATTTAGAATTGAAGTTCTTACATTTTTTACATTTAATAGTAGGATTTCAGTTTTAATTGGCTCTACATTTTTTTTGTTAGGTAAGAAGGTAGCTCTTTCAATTATAGAAATTTCTTTCCAATTGTTTTCTTGGTTCTCGTTAGCTTTCTAGTTGTTATAGATTGATTTAATCTTATGTTTATTGATTTTAAAGCTTTTTTCTGAACATTTGTGTACATTAATTAGTTCAATTTGAATATGATTCTTTTCCATCGTGAAATTAGTACGATTTTCCCTTGAGGGTCCTTTCCTTCTTTTTTTTGTTAAATTGTTTTTGTTTGGAAGAAACGAGAGATTCTTTGGGCGTTAGATTTAGTAAAATTTTGAGTTCAAATCTGTGGAGGAAAAATAGGCCTAAGACCATGTGCCAACCCTTGAAGTCCGTAAGCCTAACGAGACAATGATATGTTGAGTGTCTAGTTTATACAAGGTAGCTCTATATCCTGTTTACTAGAGTTAACTACTTAACTTTGTTTAGGTTATGTATGAATTAAATAGGTGAGGTAAATAAGACTATTATATCTCCAAAAGTAATAAAATACGGACCAAGTATATATATTATCTGTAAATTCACAAGTTACCTACTTTAGTCTCTTTGTAGACTTTTGATAAAGATATATGTAACTGCTTTAGATTTTCATTTAATTGATCAAACTTAGAAATAAATTATAGTAGTCCGAATAATTGACTAAATAATATGGTTGAAAAAACAGTATAATGTGTTGGATATAGTTCTTTTGAGTTATTTTCTATTATTTATTTTAATTTAGTAACATTGTGTTCTTTATAGATTTTTTTTAGCATTTTGGAGTTATAGATATTCTATTTTACTGTGCATCAGCAACTTGTCTATTTTATTCTTCACACTAAAACAAGGTGGAGTAATGGAGGTTTGCCCCTCTCAGCTTGTCTTAAATTAAGAAAATTATATAACACTAAATTTTTCCTTACAAAAATTCTTGGATACGACCTTGTGATGTGAATGTAGATTCAAATAGTATAGAAAAATTAATGGTTCCCATCGCAGACATTTAGTGACATTAATACTTGTTATCCATTTTGTGTAGGAAGACTACTTCGAAAAATTTGGTCAGAACAAAAATGGTTGAAGGAAGAGATGTTGTCCAGGTTCTAAATAGTTTAGCTTTTCATGACACCCCACCTCGTATGTAACGATGATTTGGCCTACTTGGAAGGATCTTGGACTAAAACTATTAGCTTTATCGTGGTACTTTACTTGTAGTTATTGCTTAAGTTTAAGTTGTAAGCTACTGTATTGCTTTATATATATATTTTTTTTTTTCATAGATAGCATTGTCATGCCTTTATATGAAACAAGTATATTTTCAAAATTTTGGATTTAAATTTCTCTACTTGTCTCAAACAAATTATCGGATGTCTTTGGTGCATTACAAGAATGAAATCTCACTTTTCACCTTACCTTTTTTAGTTAATTTCATATAATTTAATTGTTTCATAATTCGTTGTGGTTCATGGTGTAACTCCACCTCCGTTTCAGTGGCGATTGATTGTCAATGAAATATAATTTTCTTAGACAATTATATGGTTTTATCGCTAAGTTCTCTAAACATTTAGCATTGATTATACTATAACATGTTAAAATTGAAAGTTTTCTTTTACTTAACCTAAAAGTAATAGGATACCTTCAATTTGGCTCTCTTACAAGAACTTGTTATGCATTATCAATTTGTTTTCGTACTCTTTAAAATAATAGTGTTGTTAGTTTTTAACTTTCTACTTATTCTTGTGAAACTATGTACCTTATCAACACTTCCACGACATAGAAAACCAACCTCTACTTATTCAGGTGAAAGCATACATTCTAGCAGATTTAGTTATTTATTTTCTTTTATTGCTATGTCTTCTGCTTCTACTATACTCTTAGATGTAACTTTGATTTGCAGACTGAATACGCTGCCTAGTTTTTGAATGTCATGAGGTAATATATGGATTTTCTTTTTATATAAGCGTTCTCTAGATTAGATCATGTTTTTCAAAAGGACTTTGTCTCCATTATGCTTGTGAATGTTTGATTAATCCACCACACCTAAATGGTGTGAAAGTTATCTTATTTATAATCAAATAAATTACAAGGATATGGAAATAGTAATAAATGGAAATAACAATAAATGGAAAGATATCTATAGTAATAAGGCAAATATTAGATATTTGCCTTGTAATAAAATATCAAATATAATATATACGGGAAAGTATAATTTATTACTAAATATCCTTAACAATGCTCCTATCTACTTTCTCATATTAATTTATTGTTAATATGTTGTCTTAATTGGTCATAGAACTTTTATGCCTGGATCTTTATATTTGAAGATAGTAAACTGTTGTACCCATTATTTGTTGGAGTGGATGTTGGTGTGAGTTTCTAAAAATTTAATTTGGAAGGGTTTAAATGTACCTTGAAGGGACTTGAAGGGGGAAATGTTTGTACCCATTATTTGTTGGAGTGGATGTTGGTGTGAGTTTCTAAAAATTTAATTTGGAAGGGTTTAAATGTACCTTGAAGGGACTTGAAGGGGGAAATGTCAAAATAAGGAGACTTTAAATTAAAGTAATTTTGGAGTAGTTACCAGAGTGAAGATACTTGAACTCTTATGGTTGTTGTTGATAACCTTTGTTTTTTGTTTTGGTTTGTGGATGGTTGATCTCATTTATGAAGTTTTTGATATTTTCAACTATGTGTATTTGAAATATATTTTAGATTTATTTCATTATCTAGTTATCTCGGTATTATTGATTTTTTACTTAGTTATTCAACTAATGTACGTTTGATGTAGGTGTGTGACTAAGGATGAAGTCATGACTTACACATTTCGGTACAAATGCTATACTCTTTTTTTATTAAAAAAAATATATATTTGTATATAAAGCTAAGATTGTTGGTTATTTACAGGAAATTAAAGATGATAGAGGACTTGCACTACAAAGTCTGGATGGGATAGTGGCCGGAAGACGTATAACATCATTGCAAATAGTAGATAATAATTTATCTTGTATGATTTGAATAACTTCTTTATTTCAAGAAATGATTGAATACTACTATTATAATAAAATTTCAATTATGAATGGAAGTCAAGACATTTAATGTGTTACTAGTATTTCCTCCGTGTTTATTTAGTTAAAATAATACATTCTTAAAATACAATGAAAAATAAATGCTATTAAAAAGTTATTACAATAATTATAATGATTATAAATGAATAAACAACTTTATTATAGCATCATATTAAAGCTATAAATACTATATCATAGCATTAATTTTTTTTTTATTATACGTCAATGATAACACAATATTTTAGTCATATTAAATATATTACAGATTTAATAAAACGCTATAATATATTTTCATAGCAACGTATATAAACTATAATTTAAATTCTATTATAGCTATAAAAAAATGCTATAAACAGTCCAACTTTTAATAACATGGACTGTCATGACGTACGAAAAACGCTATAAAAAGTCTACGATAGCGTTTTTCGTAAGCTATCGTATCAATTATTCTTGTAGTGCTCATTCCCAATAATCCTCAACAATCCTCCCTTAGTGAACGTGGACCAAACATGTAACCTACATATTAGTTGATAAAATCATTGAATTGATGAAAATTTGTACATTTAAATACAATTTTAGGATTATTTACTTAATTTTGATTTAAAATTGCAGAAAGAAATTTTGATTAGTTTCAACATAATATTCTTACTCCAATTCGAGATCAAGAGAATGTAAGAAGTATTAATTATCTTTTTATTATACATGTATTTTCATATTTATATTAAGATTTATTTTGCACTTTAATAATTAAAATTATGTTTTTTTTTTCCTTACCATTATACCGTTAATGGGTCATAGCAGGGGCTAGGGAATCATTTACAACATCCTTAACGAGGTGAATACAAAAACATGCTTCAAGCTGCACCTGTACATCTTATAGACTGTCGTACTCAACTTCAAATATATACTTAAGCTGCAAAGGTGTCAAACCATTTTGTGCTATATACTCATCCTTCCTTCAATCATACTCATCCTTCCTTCAATCAAAGAGATCAGATGAAAGTGGGGAAAAAGATTAATTTCAGTTCATAGTGTTGTGTTTGCCTAATTACTAACTTATATGCGGAATGGTCATCATGGTCGTTTGTGTTTGTGAGAGAGAATCAAAATAATTTTTCTGATTCTTACATTGTTCCACAGTCCCTTCTCTAACTCTTTGTCAAGTTGTAGCCCTTTCAATCTTTCTCCTTGGCTATTTCTCTTTCACTATTCTCCATTTTCATCATTTTTCTTTTATACATTGGCACAGCTTTAGATCAGGTTCATCTCTCCTCCCTCTTGGCTTATTTTAACCGGTAGATTTCATACTTCTTCCTCCTTCTTTTCATTTTTTTAAATGTTTTCCTTCTATTTCGCTCGCTCTCAGTAGCTTCCATTTCTTCTCGCAAGATGTGACGAAGTTTCCTCCCCTTTTCATTTTATTCCTCTCAGCTCTCATTCTTTTCTTATTTTCCACACGAGAGGAGATTCATCCCTTCTTGTTCTTGCCTAAATCCAAGCTACAACTGCTCAAGATATGTCTTATTTCATTCATCTCTTCTTATTTTTGGAATGTGTTTTCAACTACAATGTATTGGTTTAATTTCTTTTCTTATTTTCTTATATCATTCATTTTTTTCTCTATGGTCCTTCTCTTCCGCTTGCTCGAAGGGAGCTTCCACTTCTGCTTGCTCATAGGGAGGGGATTTCTTCTCTTCTTGTGCTTGCTCATCTCATTTCATTCTCTTTCACTTACTCTCGCGGAGCTTCCGCTTCTGCTTGCTCGTTAGGAGGGGATTCATCTCTTCTTGTTCTTGTTCATCTTATTTCATTCTTTTCTTCTTGCTTGCAGGTAGTTTCCTCTTTTCTGTTTTTTCTTTTACCTTTTCTTTTTGGGATGTGTTTTCAATGACACTAGATGTATTAGTTTCATTTCTTTTCTTGTTTTCTTATATCATTCCTCATTTTTGTTTTCTCTTCTCGTTTCTTATTAATATAGTTGAGACTAAACATCAAATATATCAAATTCTAGAAATGAAAATGGAAATGGAACTTGTTAAATTTTGTTATTATTTCTTTTTTCTAGTTGAATCCATTCAAGAAACTCATGAGAGATGGGAGAAAAAATAAGGCAAATTAAAGAAATTGAAGTGAAAACCAAAGAATTAGTTGATTTTTTTCACACTCAAATTGGATTGTTTTTTCATATCGACCTTATCGTATTTAATAAATTTTTATTTTTCGATAATATTTGAGTCACGCTAAAATATATCATGCTCGGTTAATATATTATCTTTTTCTTTGTCTAAGAATTTTTTTTATCACAAAAACTTCCTTTTAAAATAAACTAGTGAACAAATTAGTTTAATTTTAAAAAATTATGAATGAAATAAATACAAAGACTCAAATATGAGCCAGAGTAAAATATTATGTAAATATAATTTTAGAATTATTTATTAGTTTTAATTTTTATTTAACAGAATATCTTGATTGACATAACATTGTTACTATCATTCCAAATCAATAGATGTAGCATGTATTACTTATTTTTTCATTATAAATGTATTTTCATATATATAATAAGATTTATTTTATATTTTAATAATTGAAGTTATGTTTTTTTCAATTAGACTATTGTTGTCATAAGTGCCACTGGGCTATTGAATCACTTTATAACATCGTTTACAAGGGTCAATACAAAATATACTCCAAGTTACATCTTATAGATGGTTGGATCTCTAATTCAAAAAAATATAGAATGCTATTCCTTATATGTTACAAAAGCTTTTAATTGAATCTTATCCCATAAAAGAAATTGCTAAGTTAAAGTTTAATGATAAATGAGGAAATTGCAAAGAAATCACAGAGTAAGCTTTCTTTTTAGAATTCATTAATTTAATAGTTTTTCATTTAATGTATACATAATATAACTTATTTTATTAACGGTAGATTTCAATCTAAATTAAAGCGTACAACGAATAGTTATTGAAAACCTAAACTCAATATCAAGAACGACCAGTATAAGAATGATTGATGAGCTAGACAAGTGTAAGTAAAGAAAAAATTATTTTAATAAATAAAATAATATGGTTAAAGATCATTATTTTAGCTAAGGAGTAATTTTTTTTTTCTTACCACACAGAATTGGCAAAAAAAAAAAAAATGTTTTTCATTGACATGTTATTGACATGTTATTTTGATTGTGGGTTATGGAAAGTATGATAATGGTAAAAAATATGGGATGATCAAGAATTTATGGGGAAGAATGGGGATGGAGGTGGTATGTATTTGTTAGATAAATTATCATGATAATAAACAAGAGAAAGGAGGGATAGAGAAAAAAAAAAAGTTATGTTTTGGTTTAATCTAGAGTAAATGCTCCCATCAATAAAAATATGGAGGTTTAATTTTACTTGTTTCAAAGTATTAATATCATTTTGAGTTGATATATAAAATTAATGGTATGTTTAAATATAGTAAGCATAAATTTCGATTAGAATGCAAGGACATAGAATATCAAGTATAAATAGTTATAAAATATTTTCGAGTAACTAGATTATTCTTCTCCTGTCATTCAAGTTATTATTCTTCTCCCGTTGTTCCATTCACGATTTCTGCACCATAAAAAAAAATTGTTGAACCCTCCTCATGAAACATAAACTCCTGTCATAAAATTGGCTGGTTGAAATTAAACAGACCCGAAGAGTAAGAGATGTTAATGTTGACCATATTTCAACATAAATCATAGCTATGATCCAACGACAAGAATTAGCATCCTAAGAGTAAGAGATGGTAATATTGACCATATTTCAACATAAATTCTATGATCGAGCCACGAGAATCAGCGGGTGAAATAATATTGCTATCTATTAAATAAAATTAGTTTAAATTACTATTTCTTTACTAACATTTAAATATTCAACCATTACGATTCTTCCTAAATTTTATCATACAACTGTAATTCAACCTTTTGGGTTAGACAAGAAATTGTGCTAATTATACTAAATTCAAAATTTAATTATTTATTTATTTATTTATCCAAATTAACTTAAATTCTCTTAAATTCTGGTAATAAATATAAGGCCTAATATTATTACTTACAATCAAATTTGAAAAAAAAGTAGGTAAGATTATTTCTTTGGTTTAATATTGAATGTTTTTTCATAAAAAAAAATAATAATAATAATTTGGTTAAACTTATAGAGAAAAAAAAAAAACCTTTCCTTAAATTGTTTGTTTAATTTTTTATAAAAAAATTTGGGTCTAATAGATATGATCTTGATTAAAACTTTAATCAAATGACATCCTCATTGATATCATCACCCAACATAAACCAAACAACCCTTAGAAAATAAACAAATAATTATTTGTTTTCCTTGGTTTGAGTAAAATAGAAATTTGCACCATAAATATTTAGTTTTAAATTTCTCCCACTTTAAAATTAATTTTCTTTCATTCTACATTTACACAAACTATTAAAGTCATGCTCATAACTAAGTTTAAAAGGAGAAAAAAATATACCAAAACTATTAAGTTCACATTATTCGCCATTAACTCAAAGAAGAGAGGGAATTGAGAAGATAGATGTCATGGAAGCAAACACTCAATATATTATCATGGTTATTTGTTGACCCGAAGGAATGATGTATTTGATTAATGGATTGATATGAGTAGTATCACTCCATTTTTAAAAAAAAAAATATTTCTCAATTATCTTCTCCTTAAATTCACTCTTATTCAAATGTGATTTCAATGAATAATTTTGGTTTGATTGGGGTGAGATTTCATGAATAATTTTGGTTGGTCTAATCCAAAGATATGTTAAAATAAAAAAAATATAAGATAACTGAGATTTAAAAAAGGATAAAAAATATTGAATTACTAAGAATTAGATGAGAAAAGATAGAGG